CCCGCCCCTTTCATTTTAGCATTAAAGAGAAGACACCAAAATTAGCATTTAGCAGTAGCACCCCCCCCCTTTCATTTTACATTTGTTGAAGTAGAATTGTCACTTGCTCTCTATCACCTCTCAGGAGTGGACTTTGGCTAATGCCACCTAGTGGTGATGCTATTTAATAAACTCCTCTACCCACTGTAAGTAAGCCAGTTAGTCCTGGAACGAAGATTCGAATTTAAAATTCTACATACAGGGAAAGAGACCAAGAATAAAGCATAGGTACTGCTGTCAACTGTCTAATATGTCACACCAAGAGAACACAATGTCTGGCTGTCTCACCTTTAGTGATGTCAAGATTGTTAAGTGGGTTTGGGTATTTTTAGCTAAATCCTCAGGGATGCTTCTTTTACTGGGTTTGGCATTCATTTATCATTGCCTAGGCCAGCGCTGCTCAAGCTGTGGTGACGCCAGACCCAATAGTTTGCTACCGATTTGTGATCATTTAAAGTGCATAAAAACTTTTTAACAGCAATTTAATATTGGTATATTTTATAAGACTATTGCTTCTTTACAAACTGCAAGTTTAAAACCAAGGAACTGTTCTCACCACAGTTAGTTAGATAAGGCATTACTGCTTTTTAGGAGGGGCTCTGGGGGAGGAAATGGAAGTTGCAAGTAAACCAACCTATCATTCCTATTGAATTTTCTGGGCTGCAATTAAAAAATATTTTTTAAAAACATTTATTTATTTGAGTATGTATGACATACCATGGGGTGCATATAAAGGTCAGAAGACAACTTGTAGAAGTAGGTTCTCTCTTTCCACCATGTGGGTTCCAGGGATTGAACTCAGGTCATCAGGTTTTAGGCAAGCACCCTCATCTGCTGATCAATGTCACTGGCTCCTAAGCTGCAATTCTTTTACAAAGAAGGAATTTTCCTAACTCTTGGGTTATCCTAATATATAATTAGTATAGAAAAGGCAGGGTGCTTAATGCTCTTTCTTTACTAACATTCAGACACCTATGGTGTCTCATCAACAGTCAAGGTGACTGATTTGTAATGATAATAATAAACGTTATTACCAATCAATGGATTTTATAATTAATATACTTAGATCAATCACAGTGGTAATTCCTTTTGATATTGTGTCAATTTGGGCCAGTGGAAGTTTCTTCAGGATTGTTCCTGTATCCTTCCTAATACTAGTTTTTTTTAAAAAAAAAATTTATTATTTTTATTTCATGTGTATGAGTGTATTGCCTGCATGTATGTGCGTGCACTTGTGTCATGCAATGCCGCGGAGGTCAGTAGAGGGCTTTGGATTCCTCTGGAACTGGAGTTAAGGACAGTTCATAGCTACCATGTGGATGCTGGGAACTGAACCCGGATCCTCTGTAAGAGCAGTCAGTGCTCTTAACCACTGAGCCATCTCTCCAGCCCCACAATTACTAGTTTTTGACAGCTATGCTTTTTGTTACAAAATGGCCTGCATCTGCAGTCAGATTTCTCTAGCCACGATTCCATTTTATGACCAATGATGTAGTAAAACAATCATGGTACTAGGAGGTACACATAGTCAGCACAGCTTCCCAAAGGCTTTACTCTTAGGAACATGTGAATGATGTAATTGTTTTGTTTTGTTTTTTTTAAATTTTATTATTTTTATTTTATGTGTATGCGTGTATTGCCTGCATGTAGGTAAGTGCACCCATGTCATGCAGTGCCCACATAGGACAGAAGAGGCTGTCGGATCTCCTGGAACTGGAGTTACTGACAGTTGTTAGCTGCCATGTGGGTGCTGGGATTCAAACCTGGGTCTTCTGCAAGAACAGTCAGTGTTCTTAACTGCTGAGCCATCTCTCCAGCCCCCTTAGATGTTCTTTGATGGTTTTTATCTTTTGAAATTAAGTTTATAATAACTTGCTAAGTAAAAAAATCCAAGTGCACAGGGTTGGGTATTACTCAGTGACATAGTATGTGTCTCACATGTGCAAAGCCCGGGGTTCAATACAGGACAGTGCTCCATCTCAGCCTCTACTCACCCAAAATGCTAAATGCCAGAATTTCACATGAATCAAATTAAATCTATAATTTTATTTGGGAAGGCTTTATATAGGCTTCCTACCTAGGAACACAGGAAGTTTATCCATTGGAATCTTTAGTTTTAGCTAGGCATGATGGTATGTAACTTTAGCCCCAGCTATTTGGAAGGTTGAGGCAGGAATGTGAGATCAGCCAGGAACAGAGTGAGAGCCAGCCTTAGAAAAAGATCTTCACTTTTAACTTTTCCACCCATATATGTGTGTGTGTCTTATGATTACTTTTAGCTAATTTATTATAAAGTGCTATAAACAGGAATTCTAGTTCATATTTCCTAATAGTATGGGCTTTCATTTTCTATTCTGTGTGACTACTTTATCAAACCGTACTTTAACTTAATAACTTAGATTTTTCTATATAGATATCTATAGTAGGCCACGATGTAGAACATTTGCCTAGCTTAGGTGAGGTGTGGGTTTCAAAGATTAAAAAAAGGGGGTGGAGAGATGGCTTAGGTGGTAAGAGTGATTACCACTCTTACTGAGGACCCAGGTTCTGTTCCCGGCACTCACATGATGGCTCATAACACTGTAACTCTAGTTTCAGGGGATCTGATGCCTTCTTCTGGCCTCCATGGCACCTGCATGCATGTTATACACATAAACTCATGTAGGCACACACAAATACACACATAAATTAAAAAAAATAATTTTATTTGCACATTTCAGTAATTTTTTAAATGTCTTATTGTACTGGCTACAAGTTCTAAAAAATATTGACTAACAATTACAATAGCAGGAATTCCAGGGATCATTTTTATAAAAGGAAGTTCTTCTAAGGTTTTATTCATATGATGTTGGCAGTTGGCTTGAAAAAATATTCTCTACTCCATTAAGAATTCTATTTCAGTGTCTGTCTTTGTAAAACTATGTCCTGAACAGAAAAAGATTTCTTCCTTGAGAAATTTTTTAGGGGGACAGTTTAATTGTAGCTGAAAGGACAAATAAAATTAGAGCAAAAACTTAAGAATTTTCTCAAGATACTATTTAAATGTTTGAAACTATGTTCTATGTGCCCATAGAAAACATTTTCAGAAGTTTCCTTTTCATTAGTCCTTGAAAGTTTTAGTGCTGACATTACTACTAAAAATAAAGACTAAGTATCAGATGTCACATTTGCTTTTGAACAAGTCTCCTGTAAGTTGAGCAGTGTTTACTGAATTTAGCAGCATAGGAGAAAGGTCAGAAAACTTTAGCTTATTGCCATGTACTTTAAAAAAATGTATTTATTT